AAGTGGTAGCAAGGCAAGCACGTGGCGCACCTCGGATAACCGTCCGCTCTGCTATCACTGTGGCGAAGCGGGTCACGTATACCGGAACTGTCAATACCGGCAACTAGGTCTCCGCGGCTTCCACCCTGATGCTCGATGCCCGCGCTACGGTGAGCGCCCCCGCGAAATTGAAGCCTATCTCACGGGTCAACGTACTCCTTCGACTATTCGGCACCACCAGTCGAGATCACCATCGCCTCGCCGGTCTACGTCACCCAGTTTGCCCTCATCGTCTACCGCTCCTTTCAGGAGCTGGTCACCAAGTCCCCGCAGGGGAAACTATAGGAACGGCGACTTCTGGGGGTGAAGTCGCGGCCCGGCGAACTGTAAAAGACCCTCCTTCGACGCAACGACCGGACGAGGGCGATTCCGGTTTTGCAGTGTTCTCCGACAGCAAAAAGATTGTTTCTGCCGAAATTGCCGTCTTCGTCGACAGTCATGCTGTTAACGCCCTCGTCGACACTGGTGCCGACTATTCCGTAATGAGCGCAACACTGGCATCTGAACTGAGGAAGGTTACCACGCCTTGGCAAGGACCTCAGTTGCGCACGGCAGGTGGCCATCTGGTGACGCCTACTGGTATGTGCACGGCACGCATTCGAATACGTACGTCAACATTTGCAGGTTCTTTCCTCGTATTGCGCGTGTGCTCTCGGCCAGTCATTCTAGGAATGGACTTCCTTCGTGAATACGGCGCCGTCATCGACCTCCGTGAATTACTTGTGTCGTTCGAGGATCCTTTTTGCGCTGCAACTGACAGTACGCAATTCCGGAAAAGAGCGCTCCGTCTTGCAGAGTGCAGGTCTTGTTTTGTTCGTGACAAACCATCGCACAGTCCTTAGGCATCTCCTGTCATTCTAGTTCGAAAGAAGAATCGATTCAATTTTACGTTGACTACCGGCGATTAAACAAGGTGACGTGGAAAGACGTCTATCCATTACCGGGCATTGATGACGTCCTTGACAGCCTCCAAGGAGCCAAATTCTTCTTCTTCTTAGACTTAAGATCTGGATACTGGCAAGTTCCTATGGCAGAAGCTGATTGCCAGAAAACTGCCTTAATTACACTAGATGGCCTGTACGAATTTAATGTAATGCTCCTGCCACGTTTGAACGACTCATGGACAACACACTGCATGGACTAAAGTGGTCTGTGTGTCTATGCTACCTCGGCGACATTGTCATTTTCTCTCCAGATTTTCCTACACATCTGCTTCGGCTTCAACTGGTTCTGACGTGTTTAACCAACGCTGGGCGCCAACTGAACCTTAAAAAGTGCCGCTTCACGTCGCGAGAGCTGTTCATCTTGGGCACATCGTGTCCAAACATGGTGTTCTGCCCGACCCTGCAAAACTTCGAGCAGTCGCTGAGTTCCCTAAACCTAGTACACTGAAAGAATTACGCAGTTTCGTTGTACTCTGCTCGTACTTCCGGCGCTTCATGCGAAATTTTGCATCGATCATGTCACCACTGACCAACCTCCTACGCGATGACGCAGACCTTTCATCCTGGTCTCCTGACTGCGACGTCGCGTTTGCCTCGCTCTGTAGTCTGCTAACAGCTCCATCCCATTCTTTGGCATTTCGACCCAACAGCTGCAACAGAAGTTCACACAGACGCTAGCGGGGTTGGTCTTGGCGCCGTCCTCACCCAACGCAAGCCGGGCTACTCCGAAAACCTCGTCGCTTATGCGAGTAGCACGCTCACTAAAGCTGAGGCCAAATACAGCGTCACTGAAAAGGAGTGTTTAGCGCTATAGTGCGGGCGCTTCGCAAGTTCCGCCCTTATTTGTACGGTCGCCCATTCGACCTGGTAACGGAACACTATGCACTGTGTTAGCTCGCCACATTGAAAGATCCTTCTGGCCGCCTAGCTCGGTGGGCACTGCAAATCCAGGAGTACGACATTCGCATCATCTATCGCAGCGGACGCAAGCATTCTGACCCCGACGCCCTGTCCCGTTCGCCTTTACTTCCCTACTCGGCCTGCGAAACCATTGGTACCAACTCCGTCGCATCTCTCGACCTCGAATCCTTGGCCAGTGAACAACACAAGGACCCGCGGATCGCTTCCCTTTTTGACTGTCTCTCTGGATCGTCAACCACTGTGGTATCACGATCTCTCCGACGTCAAGCTGCTCATTTCGCCATCCCTGATCGGCTGCTACACCGACGCAACTACCCCCTGAAGGTAGTAACTGGCTCTTGGTTGTCCCCCGCAGCTTGCGATCACAAATATGCGCCTCCTTTCACGACGATCCCCAATGTGGCCATGCCGCGGAGTTTTCAAAACCTATGAACGCATTCGCCATCGCTTCTACTGGCGCGGAATGTATAATTTTGTTTGAAAATTCGTTATGGGCTGCCCTGACTGTCAACGCCGCAAATCGCCGCCTTTCCACTCGTCCGGTGCGCTTCAACCGCTTCCATGCCCTGCGAAACACTTCGATCGAATCGGAATTGATCTCTATTGCCCTCTACCGACAACATCAGATGAAAATCGGTGGATCATAGTCGTTGTGGACCATTTAACACGCTACGATGAGACCACCACCCGTCCAAGTGCCACTGCCCTGGGCGTAGAGTCCTTCGCCCTCCATCGCTTCATACTACGCCATGGTGCACCTCGAGAACTACTAAGTGACCGAGGTCCAGCCTTCCTATCAGAAGTCGTCACGGCTCTGCTTTCTGAATGTCATGTTGTTCATCACAAAACCACGGCCTACCACCCACAGACTAACGGGCTCAGGGAGAGATTTAACCTACACTCTCGGCGATATGCTCGCGATGTATGTGACATCTGATCACACTAACTGGGATCGCATTCTTCCATTAATCACGTTCGCATACAACACCGCGGCACAGTCTACCACTGGATTTTCACCTTTCTTTCTTCTTTGGGAGGCAAACCTTCCCACACCATTGACACTCTCCTTCCGTACTGTCCTGACGCATCCGAATGCCCATCTGTGTTCGAAGCTGCCCGAAATGCGGAAGAGTGCCGTGAACTTGCACGCACCTTCACGTCACAAGAACAGCAGGGCCAGAAAGAAAACAACGCCGACTCTTCACGAAGCCACAGCTATTCCCCGGGATCACTTGCATGACTGGCTGTTCCTTACTAAATCCCCGGCCTTTCCTCAAAACTCGTCTCGAAGAACGAGGGCCCTTACCGCGTTTGGAGCAAACCTCGCTGGTTAATTTTCTCATTGAGCCACTTTCCTCATCTGACGACATGCGCCAGGCGTGGACGTGACATCGTCCACAGTAGCCCGCGTTAAGCCATATCATAGCCCTCTGCCTCCAGACTCTTAGGTCGCCAGGATGGCTCTTTTTCAGCGGGGGAAAATTGTGAAGAAGAAAACGCATCATTGGCAAGCAACATCGCCACCACTTGAGTACTGGGTTCTGGGCTTCTCTCGCTCACCTCGTGCTAATCGTTGCTGGCATCAGCTTGACCGTTGCTCTGTCTCGACCGTGTTTTCATCGTAGAGCCACCATCGAAACACACGCCAATAAATCCCTTTTCATATGAACAAATTATATTAAAATCGGAGCTTGTGCATTTATGTAGGTTATATAGAGTTCTTGCCAGATATAGAGTAGTTTCGGAACATTCAACTAAGCACACTCTGTCAGTTTACATGATATCGCGCCACCTTTCACACGACAGCTCATAACATCAGCACACATGTCGAGCAGCGTGGGCAGTGTGCTGGCCACGCATTCACCTGCATGCACGGAACTACGCCATTATAGATTTTCATGCACATGACGCGGGTTGAGTTGGGTTTCCTGCTGGTGGGAGCAGGACAGGAGCGTGCGACAACGGCTGACACAACAGAAAAGGCTTCGAAATAGTGTATTTCATCAGCAAATATCAAGAAAAATGGCTACTTAATGTGCCACAACAGAAGTTCAAAAGTAGCCGTGTAGCCAACCTGAAATTTTTGACACCAGACAGGCTTGTTATGCGGCCAGTTTGGTGCAAAGTATCCACCAACGGCAACCGTGGTGTGAAAAGTGCCAGTGTGAAGCCGCATGCGCTGCTATGTTAAAGCAGTCTCTCTCTTTTAGGTGATTGCTAGACGAACCTTGGTATGGCAGTCTTCATGAAGCTGGCTTGGACGTAGCACTTGAATCGAACTCGGGTAAACTATATTGAACTTGGGTATTTACGAACATGACAATGCTTCAACGTCAATGGCTAGAAAAATTCACGTTACATTGAGCAAATATAGCTGTACAGCGCCAGAATTTGGCTTTTCTTCAAGAAAGGTACCTTCCCACGTGCATATGGGACAGCGAACGGTGTAATTGGCAGGGTATCGCACAGAGCGATTGGAAACTACCGCTTGCCATTGCGTGCTCTCTCATGACCACTTGTTCTGAGCTCGTCGTGCGGGTTACGCTTCTTTCGTCCTTTTATTAACGAAATGGATGCCTTAAAATGGAAGAACCGGGCTGTTCTCTGCAAGGTTGGCGAAAATCAACACAGTCTAATGTAGACAGAGTAAGTCGTATGTTGCTGCTGGTGTGCAGCGGGCAAAGAAGCAAGGTCAGCACGATTAAAGAACAAAGCCTACAATAATGTGAAAGCAGACTAGTGCCTACTGGCACCCAACGAGCACGCACCGCTTCGTATGATGACATTGAGGAGCTGTTTAGGTCGATAGCACATTTTCTCGTGCATAATCCATTTCTGCATATGGCCTGCACCACCAACTATACACCGTCGAAAAAGTAAAATTCTGCATATTACCGAAAGAACATTGCATTACCCTGAAGCAGTGCCACTTCTGCACTGAAACTTGCACTGTAATTTCAGCAATTCTTTAAAAGCTATGTATCAGGTATGCAGTATATCAAACCAATTCCTTTTTCTTTTTGTGAGTTTGATATACCCGGATTGAACTCTACTATGACATCTGCTTTTCCGACGCCCCACGAAAAAACGCATACAGAGAGTGTTTAAAACATTTTATTTGCTTTTGTTAAGCAATATTGTCACGCTCATGCTGACTGTACAAATATATATTTCACAACACTAGCAACACGAGCAAAAGTATGTTTCAAAGGAGCTACCCTCACACCAATATAAGCATTCTTCTGAGGCCAGCCATTATACAAAGGCGGTCATTGCACATATATTCTTATGCTTCACACGTCTCTGAGGCCCCATAATCACCACCACCGCATCTGCACGACTTCTCCAGAGGTTGTTCCCGCAGTTAAATAGCTCGATTAATTTACATCTGAGGGGTTTAATCTTTTACTTCCTCAAGAAATACGTAAGTGGCATAAAAACGGCAGTTGATTAACAGTAAAAGGTTGGCCAAGTTTTTGCAGTGCACAACACGGTCGGTGATGACATTGAAGTCGCATTAAAAAAACACAGTAGGCTCATGCAGCCAAAATGAAGGTAGCAGATAATTGGTGACGTTGGGTAGATGTAACCGAATAGGACGTAGCTGCATTCCATTTAACATCAGCGTGTCAAAGCACTGTTTTAACTCTGGACGTGGCAAAATAGATCCAGGCCAGACAACCCGGATGCATGAAAATGCGCTGACATGTTGCACTCACATTGTATCACAAAGATGGCGCACCGCGATATAGCGTGGTCCTCTGTAAAATCGAAACATGAAGAAAGTTATAATTTTTTAGAAGGGGGCACACGATACGTTGACCTTCATCCGCGACACTTGGCGAGCATTATCGTAATTATGCTACATTATCCCTCAACGATTACACGCTGTCACAACAGTAAGCACAAAAAATGACGGTGACAATTTAAAATAAGCTCATTGACAAGATTAAACATGCAATGTAATAGTGAAAGGTTATGTTGCACAACTTGTTAGGTGAATTAGGCCAAGAATGACATCATACCCCAAGCCCTAACAAAAAAAAAAAAGAGAGAGAAAGTTCTCGCTTGTATTCATTAGTGGGAAATGCAGTTTGTGATAATGCCAGGTGTAGATTTGTGACTATGTTCGATGCCATCTTGCATCAGAAGATGTAACTTATGATAATGCTTATCTTACAACTTGCAGGACATGATTGTGCTCAAGATGTCGTATGTACACAATGCCGTATGTACACAAAATCACAACATAAACACTCTACAAATGTAACATTGAATGAAGAAGCTCAGATGTTTTCAACAGACTGGACATATATGCTGTTTGTACAAAAGCTGAAGGCAATAGACACCACTGCAGATGTGCAACACTTTGCAGGAGATCTACCTTGTTCGTTAGTAGAATCATTGCACCCTCTGTGGTCCACATTCCACAAACAATCACTACCTCAGAGATTTCCGAAAATGTCTTTGCATGCTCTAGCCCCCTTTTTGTTCTTTATGTGTATTACTAGATGTAAAATGCAACAAAGTCTTCAGACAAGACGACACAAGGCAATGTGCAAACATCATAACTTGCTCGTGCAAGACGTATTAGCACTGCATTTTGACATCTGGGAGCCATGTCTGACCGACACAGAGCGAGAATGCACAAACAAGAGAGAGACTAATTGAAATCCTTCATTCCAAGACATAGTAGCAAGGCGTGTTTAATGCAACGTGTGCTATCAATACAGTTCGGGCACTTTCATAGTCTAAACAAAGTAAACTTACACCTATATATTACGTAATAACGATATAAACTTGTCTACACCAAAGAAGGATTTTGTCATGATAGTATGAATGTGCCACATGGAGAATAGATAGCATACAAATAAATATGCACACAGCAATGCACGTGTGTTTCTCGGCATGCCTTTATTGCCTGTACGTTGCATTCCCACTAAAACCCAAAGCGGTCGTGATACAATACCAAAAAGACCAAATGGCCATACCTGAAAACAAAAGCTCCAGTTCAGACTTGAAAATGTGCTCACTCGCGGTAGTTACGATGCGGGCGCATCACCGGTACACTCTGCGTACACTGCGAGCATGTCGTTGAGACAGATGTCATCGTTGCGATTGTGCAATCGAATCGATTGCTGGTCACTATTGGTAACGACCTCGGCAGTCGAAAAAGCTGGCTTCGAACTTGAAATCTTTGGGTACCATGATCTTCTTCAGTCCGTGCAGCGTGACAGGAATGGCGAAGCCCGGAAGCCGCTCGTAGCCGTTCGGCAGATGGCGCAAGGAGTCAAGAGAAACGTCTTCCCAACGCCCATAATCCATGAACCACACTCGCACCTTCTTCTTTGACCTGTGCCGAGAGCAACAGGAATCTTGCGATAAGACAAAAGATGGGAATCTTGTGACAAGAAGAGACGTCCACGGCGATGTCATGGACGTCACATCTTGTCATTTTTACTTGAAACAAAAATTATAAGCATCCAGACTGCAGCGTATGCGATCATGAACTACATCTCTCAAGGCACATTACATTAAACAAATCGAGAATACATTTTTAAATGAAAAGTGACATAAAGCGTCAGACGAAGTTCCGATTCTGGGAATATAGTAACCTTACACTGTGCCAGCTCTGGTGGCAATGAACTTGTTTGGCTCTAGTGAAAATCTTAAAACTTGCAATTAGGACTGTCAATGTTTTTCAGAGTTCGTAATACCCTGCAAAGTGCGAGGCAGGTATACCATATTTACTCACGTAATAGATGCACTCACGTAATAGATGCACTCGCATAATAAATGCAACCTCAACTTCAGTTGTCAGAATATACAGTCGACTCCTCCTAAATGGAACTCGAAGGGGATCCATAAAACTGCTCCATTTATCAGAAGTTTCATTTCATCATTTAGGGGGAAGACTTTCTTTAGACAATTTTTCTTTATTTTCTCAGTGATATTGATGAAACTGCACAGGCTTGTGTATTTTTTTCTGCTTATTTCAAATGTGCAATTACTTTTCCTGTAACTCATCTCATTCCCAAGATAATGCAAGTTAAATCCCCATTGTCTAAGGCCTCGTTAAAAAAGTGCCAAATTAAAAGCAACATTTAGATATGACAACACAGAATAATGATGAAAAATGTAAATAATGGAATTAGTTTATTTTATTTGACTTGTTTTAGTTATTTTATGACAGATTGAATTTTACACTCTGAAAAAGCAGTTGGCATGCGATTGCAAATTTTATAAATAATTATTTGAAAAGGCTTGCTTTCTAAATTCCATTTCAATATTTGCATTCTACGCACATACAGGTTTCTATAGGAAAAAGAATTATTGTTCTAGCTGCCATAGCTACCGAGATATTGAGGCCTCAAGACTGAACAGTCATAAATTCACATTTTGAGAAAAATGGCAAAAACAGATAACACACACTTTATACAAAAAAAAACAATAAGAAAATGGATATTTCACAAAGTAGATACTAATATCCACAAGGAACATAGTCTGACTGGTGCTTAGCACTGTGGTGGCACTTCTTTAGTGCTTGCTGGAGCTTTTCACCTGAGGCCCGCTTGCGGTTTGAGTCAGCCACTCGCCACCTGTCCTTCTCGGTAATCCGTCTGATGCTTGGGAGGGCTGGGGTTGAGATTGAGTTCGTCGAGGATGCCTGTTAACGTCCTCAAGTTGCCGCCGTTGAATTTCATTACTGCCTCCGCAACTGCAGCTTCAACTGCAAACAGTGAAGCATGGCGCTGCTTAGGTGCCAAAGCCCAGATCATAGAATGCATTGCTATTCTGGGTTTTACCTCTTTGGCACCTTTCTAGAAGTCCCTCTATCATACAGGCGCTCATATACTGGCAGAAGAGCCTTGCACACATGTTGAGGCAAATTGTAATGGTGCCTCCTCGAAGCTGGCTCCTTTTTGGCAGCAGCTGCGTTCTGCCTGCACCAAGAGTCTGGGCCTGTGGGACACAGGCTGTGATTCGACTCATTATCATTAGAAGTGACGTGATAGTAAGTCGCCATAACAGCTCTGTGCATGGCGTCAACATCTCCTTTGTGAGATTTAAGCGCACAGCCGTAGTAAGAACTCAACTTTGTGACTGAGGTCCCCAGTGAGCTTTCCCTTCCTCTAAGGGTTTCACAGGCACCTCCTTTTTGTCTTGCTGCTAAATTGTGTAGGACAGTGCCCATACGCTTTTGGACTATGATTGACACAGTCCTTTTGTACTTTTATGAAGCCGTAGACATCCGCTTCTTGCAAAGCTAGAAAGGTATGGCTATCACCATCTGACAAGATTGTCGTGTACTTCAGGCCATTTTTTTAAGGACCTCTCATAGAGGAGCACAGCTGCCTGAACTTCCATTTCGCCAGCTTTTTTTGTACTATTTTTTTGGCACATGTGGGTGTCCTGCCAAGCCCGATATGTCAAGTCGTCTTCCTTCGGTCCACGCTCACACTCGGCACAGTAGTTACTCAAAACAAACCACGTAGTCCAGCACTAGGACAGTAAAGAGCTCGATCACTGCCCCCACGCATATGTGGGACGAGTGCCCGTGCGTCATCCACGAGCCGTCGTATGAGACTGCAATACTGTAGGCATAGTCAATTTGCAGCTCTCCTTGTACAGCTCACGAACTGCACTTGCACACTCGCCATCACTTCTTCAGCCGCGCAATTAGCTGCAGGTGTCAATTTTTGCTTCACATATTTCTGCCACGTTTTCTTGTGAAGTCCACGATGCGATATATCCATGGTCGAAAATATATCATTCATAGCCGCTTGACGGTTCCCAGTAGCCTGCATGGCTCGAGCGGCGAGAATGTTGACGGTGAACGAATTCACTTTTTGTGTGCCATCCACTCGTGGAGAGCTCCACGCTTGCGCGATGTCGCCACAGTTCACGCAACGCGCACACATTCTCCCAGCAAGGCCGTATTGCCTGTCCTGTCTGTAAATACTGACGCTTCCGTGGCAAATTTTACATCTCATTGCATCAAGCAGTTGACCGATGCAGCCAAGATTGGCGATCAAAAAACTTGCCTCCTCTTCGCTTTGGTCCGGGGGAGCGGCGCCGGCCGGTGCGTCGTTCCTCAAAAACTCCAATTTTCTCTTCGACGAGGCCGTCAATGCCAGTTCCTGCAGCCTCGAATCGGTCTTTGTACGCCTTACCTGCAGCTCCAATTTCGTTAGCAAGCTTGCGTCACGGTGGCCGCGGCCGCTGCTTTGCGAAGCGTCGGAGACCAGTGGACCCACTAGGCCTAACTCCCCGTCGGCTCTCTCGGGCGCCTCGGCGATTCCTTCACCGTCGACGGACGAGATGGCGGTCGTGGAGTGTCGATGTGCGCAATGTTCATCTGCATGTTCCGTTGATGGATGTGCCAGGGATGCGTCAGGTTTGGGAACATCGCAGGATGGCGAGGCCGTCAAGCTTGCGTCGGCGGCATCAGCGGGCGACCCATCCCGTTCTTCGTTGACGCTACTCATCAAGAGATGTGCCTTGAAGTTGTTCACCTGAGCCTTTCTTCTTTTTTTACCGAACTTATGATGGGTGTGAAACTTTCGCGATGATCCCAGCATTGCAAAAACTTCGATTGCGAGCACGCTGTCAAAGCACAGGCGGTATGGCAGCACAACATGTTGTTCACGTGTTGTTGACGCGCCGAGCTGAGGATGCGAGCCCAATCAGCCAATGAAGTGGCCACCTCATGGTCACGTGCACTCAACAACACAACCAATAGAGTCGCATACATTGCTTTTTTTTCGGTTGCTTTTTTTTTGCCAACCAATAGATGCAGCAAGGCTGTTTGAGAAGGAATCGGAAGATGGAGAAACGCGCTTTAAAACGAGATTAAGGTCGTGGCTATGGAATTTGGCAAATGGTACCTCTGCTTCGCAAAAAAAGTGGTGTTTTTTCGTCAAATTTTGCGCAAATTGAGCTTGCAAGTCCTCTTTGTAATGATATGACAAGTAAAATATCGCTTCCTGGAGTCTGAAAATTGGCAGGCAGGTGTAAAAAGTGTCGCCATATCCACGAAGTGAATGATGATGAGTGGGCGAAGCTCCGGAGGTAAACCTGGTAAACCATGAATCCTCTGTACATTTTGCCCACTCGATTTTATTACATCGCTCCCCCCAGCGTACGTCGCCGCACTAAATCGAACGATTGCCTTCAACCAATGACACGCGCCATATGTGACATCATTCCTATTTTATAAGATCTCGCGTCTTTCATCAACTACAAGTACCGCTTTCTAGTTTATAACATCTTGCATCTTTTCATCATCAGCTACAAGTACCACCATCTAGTAAACACTACAAAAACTAAACGAGAGGTGGCTACATACAGGAGACGGTACCGCCATCTAGTGAACACTGCAAGAACTAAACTAGAGGTGGCTACATACAGGGGACGCACAGCCCACGCCCTAAGGAGCTTCGCCCCTAAAATGCTTGCACAATTCAGAAATGCCTTTGAAACAAAATTTTTTTTTTTCAATTTTTCAGTCCCAAAGTCCGCCCCCTTAGGCAAAGTACACTTATTTAGTGAATCAAAACCTTTCTTCGAATTGCACAAACCTCACTGTACTCATGAGAATGAGTAAGAGAAAAAAATGAGTGAAAGGTGGTTTGTTTGGCAAACTTGAGCTTGAGTTGTTTTTTCACAAGGTACGCACCCATGCCCGACAAACTAGCCAGAAATTCTGGAGAAGCCTTATGCTCAAAATAGCCCTGCAAAAGTTCAACAGTCTCTGTAGCTGATCTGTCTGGTGGCACCACTACACTGGCAACACTGTCCCCACATTATCGCTGGAAGGTTAATCCTCATCTTTCACTTCGGCAATCATTTCCTCGACAGTCTCCTGATGACAGGTACGAACATTTTCATCAATTGATTTATAGCCGTGCAAAGTGAAAGGGGCAGAGGGCACGATCTCACTGAATACTGCCTCAATGTCGGCATCAGCAGGAACTTTCTTCTTCATCAGGTACTGCTTCTTGCTCTTGAAAGCCAGCATGATGAAAGCATTTGTGTATTGTTGTTGCCTTCCTCCCAGGCACGGGCCAAAATGTGGATGGCAGCCAATAAATCTATACTGTAGCATTTTCCGCTGTCTACACAAAGCAGCAATTGATGGAGCAATTGTCTACGGTAATGAACTTTAATGTTCTGAATAACTCCTTGATCCATCGACTGGATCACTGCTGTTGCATTGGCTGGCAAGAACTCCAGAGTGATGGCTTGGAGTCAACCTGACCGTGGGCTGGGCAATCATCCACGATGAAGACAACCTTCCTGCCTTGCCTCGTATATCTTGCGCGTTCCTCCCGTAGCCACTTTTCGATAATGGCCATGGTCATCCACGCCTTCTGTTCACATGGTACGAAACGGGAAGGTGTCGAACGCCTTTGAAACAACGTGGGTGCCTTGATTTTTCTATTACCAACAGCTTCGATTTCCCATCTCCCTGCCTTGTTTGCACCCACCAGCACAGTGATGCAATCTTTACTGCGTTTTCCCCCACTACAGGCCTTGCCTTTTGAAGGTGAGAGTATTTGATGGAAGCGCCTTATAAGTAAGACCCATCTCATCAATGTTTAAGACGTCTCGTGGCTCAAAGCTCGTCAAAATTTCCTTACGCCGCCCCTTTTGTCAGTCGGTGCAAATGTCCCTGTTGACTGCAGCACTCTCACCTGAGGTTGCTTTGAAGACTAGGCCATGGCGTATTTTGAAGCGGCTGAGTCATCAGTCGCTTAGGACGAAGTTCTCAACACCCGTTTTCATGGCGATCTCTCGAGCTTTCTGCTCGAGAATCGGTCCGTTTATGGGCAAATGGGAACTCTGTGCACGCTTGCACCACAGAAAATGAACTTTTTCTAGTTGTTCATAAGGCGCCGTCCGCATCCGTTTAGATGTAAAGGTCCTGTTCTTTACAGCGCCTTCAATTTTTTCTCCTGACTTTGAAGATCCACAACACCGTCGATTTCGGGATGTTGTATTTTTTCGTCACCTTCAGAAGTCTTGGGCAGGCCGCCTCGATGGAACTCTTAAAGAATTTTCAGCTTTTTTTCAAGCGTTTCCTTTCCATCGGGACGAAATAACGCCGCGATCCACCGCACTTAGCCGCACAAATAGGCCTAACACACAACTGAGAATGGCTACTGAATTGGCCATGGAGGAAGGAAAAAATATAGGAGAGGCCATGACGTCATATTCGTGAAGCCGCCGCATCACAAACACCCGCACTACCTCCTAGCGGAAAAGAAGATAAACACTTCGCGATTTAACGGCGAGCAGTCGCCGCGGCGGCCTTAAAAGCGGCGCCGGCGGAGTGAAAGTCGGTAGGTGTTCTCTGCCGGCAGCGAGTCGATTCACGAGTACTGCTTCTTTTGCGTGTTTTTTTTTTAGGAAAGCCGTGCGATGCCCAGCTGTAGTGTATACTCGGTGCGAATCGCGTGTACCACCGGGTGTACCTGGTGGCACTTTTCACATATGTTCGCTTCACTGTTGATCAATCATGTATGGTATTTGCATGTGGAGCTCTCAGCCGTACGCTCCGTTGGTTCTTATTCATTGTGTCAACTGAGAACACGCGCAAACTTTTGTTTTTAATGTTGTAGGCATCGTGTCACGTTTTTAGAAGTGTTGTCACTCATACGGAAGGACAATAAACTTTTCTAGTTATCGAATTGAATGTGTATGTATTGTACGGTGTGCACTCGCTGCGTGTTAGTTGTGTGCGCACTGGAATTACACACTTTACGTGCACGATCATGTATACAATACAGCGGTGCCTTCTTACCAACGTGAAGTACGTCAAGCTCTAAGCTGAGTCTGCACGGAATAGCTACGAAGCAAGCTCTCAAAATTGTGCATTACCACACTGACACTATATACGAGCAAAGAACTACTAATCGGCCTGTAGATCGGGAAATCTGGCAAAGAAAAAAAAAAAAAAGGCCTCACGGCGAGCAGAACGCGTAAGTCACTGCTGGATGAGTTTGAATACGATGATGCAAGGGCTGAATGATTTTAGTTACGACACGTACTGGTGCTCTGTGCTATTGCACAAAAACACTCCACAAAGTACTTCAACACGCCGCGCTCGGGCCTGCCATGCACGAAAGTGTCTCAGAAATGTGTGCTCGCAACATTTTACTGCATGCAAACCATACAATATGCGTTAAGTTTACGTTAGGGCTATAAGTCCGCGCAGAAGCGAACCAGCGCTGAGAGCATGCCGCGGAGGGTCTGCTTTTTTTTGTTTGCCCCATACCGGTTTGTTTGCCCCATAAATTTGTCGTCACTTCCGCCACACTTCTCCCAATGCATTGTGATAGGATCGGGCCTCTCCTCAGTTTTTCCTTCCTCCATAGGAATGGCTGTCTCGAGGTGCTGTCATGGTCCTGAGACTACCTTTGGCCTGAGCGAGTCAATGCTGTGTTTAGAGTTTGTGGCGTTTAACCGTAGGTGACCAAGAAGCACTGTTTCGATTAATCGATGAACTTTACTGCGCAAAACATATAAATCCAGCCATATGAGCCCGTTTAGTTCTGTTTATGAATCATTTTCGTTTAAGCGAGTTTCGTTTGTTGAGAGTCCACTATAAATGTTTTTTTCTCGCGTAATAAACGCACCCCCTAAACTCCTTGAGAAAAAAAAAAGCATTCTTTAAGAGAGCAGATATGGTACTCCAATCTCATTATAACAAAGTTGCATCTTACACGAAAATTAGTTTGTAATATCTAAAAATTCGTATTAAAGGTATATTCCTAATGCTAAACCTATAGAAAGACTATTATTTATTTGATTAATTATAACAGACATTTCGCTATATTCGGGCTCGATTTGAGTGTATGTAGCAACATTGAATCTTTTCTCTTCATGAAGCCATACTCAAGTAAAACATGTTAGCAGAGTAAGAGATATTAGTCACGAAGTCAATGATTGTGTTGCCAGAGAAATGCTGCTTTTTTAGTGGACAAAATTGCTTTAGAATGAATCCCACTGCTCCTAAATATTTGGATCACTCCTGCTGGTAGGCAGGCCACACGTACCGATCGCCGCTTGCTGCGTCCTTTTCGTTGTGCTTAACAAGTCCAATTTGTCCGCGGTACCACGTCGAGTCCTTCTTGTGCAGAACAGCAACGAGATCACCTGGAACGGGCTCCTCGATTTGTTTCTCTAGGGACACCACGGCGTTCAGTGCCTTCACCATCTTGACTAGGTCTCGTAGAGCCGACACCTCTTGCAGGTAGATTACCTAAAGAGGAAAGGGAACCAAACAAAAATAGTAAAAGTATATCTAAGCCGATTACATGCCATGAAAATGATCCGACACGAAGTGCGCAGGATAGTTGTGACGTCGACGTGGATGGGGCTGAGGAGCTCATGCCAGTGGCATTGCGCGACACTCTTCGGGGCGTACGTTTTGCCGATTATGTTGAAGTTGACACCGGTGCATCGGTGTGTGGTGCTCTGACTGATGAGGACATTATCGCTCAAGTAGCCGGTGCGCAGCCTGATGCTGAAAAGCCAGAAGGTGAGGAAGACGTAAATGACGAAGCGCCTGTGCGCCCGTCAGCTTCTGCGGTGATGGAGGCACTTAATGTGGCGCGTCTCTTCTTCAGGTTTGAAGAGGGTGAAGAGGATTCCCTGCGCTGCCTCCGTGCGCTGGAACAGGGAGCCGCAGCTGTGGCATTCAGAGAAAAGAAGCAGATGGTCATCACCGACTTTTTTGGCCAATAAATATTTTGCGTGCCCCCACCCCCGAAATCCATCCATTTTTGCTCACTTTCATTATTTCGAATTTTCTTTAATTCAAAATTGCTCGGCGTTCCCGTGGAATTTGAATTAACAAGCTTTTACTGAAAAGGCTTCTAGATTTTTTAAAAAAGTCATTTTGTTTCAATAATTTGAGAAAAAGCACCACCATTGTTGTCATTTTTAGAATCATGATCATAACTTCAATTCTTTTTATTCACATTTCTCTTTGATCATACGACCCACACAATGCCTACTGCTACTGCTGCTGCTTTACTACTACTACTGCTACTACTACTACTACTACTACTACATGATATATGGTAGACTAAGACAGCTATGTTGTAATGAACACTGAGCATATTTCACCCAACACATTGGTTGCAACACTACAGAACTGTCACTGGACAAAAAGAAGTCGGAAAATTTGATCGATATTGTCAATAAGGTAGCGTCATGCTGATGACTAAAAACATCTGTTTTGCGTATAACTAGCACAATGAGACTTGGTGTTGAACAGTAAAGCTAGTATATACTTATTACATACCGAAGCGCCAATGTTTACATGGACAGACTGGTTGTGAAGCTTCGCCTCAACTCTGAAAGAGCTTAGCGCGCTGCGAGCGGAGGCCGTGGGGCGGCACTGCATCACCACCCGGGTTAGACTGGAGGGAAGCTGGCTGCTGGTGCGCTATGGGGTCAATGCATAATATTGTGGCTTGTCATCTCACAGCGTTCATCGAATAATTATCATTGCGCCTAGTGAGTTGTGCCTGAAGAACGCGAAGGATGCTGTATACATGCTGCTTACCAGGTTGTCAATCCGATTACAAAAGAAATGACAAAAAAGTCTCCGAGTTCCCGCAGTTTACAGACAGTGACCGGCAGGAAAAGCGGAAGCGCACAACGCCAGGACAAGAAACAGGTGGTTTTACATTTCCTTGCACGTGTGGGAAAAGCACTCCGATGAAAGTGACATCGTTCGTGTGGACCAGTGGCTAATCGGAGGTGTTGCCATGAAGTCACTGTGATGATGTTTCGAAACATTTACTGACGCTGTTCCGAGGATTTTTAACGGCCTCACGGTGTATTTGCAGAGTGCAAAAAGATGCAGAGCTCGCCCACCTACCAAGCGCCGACGGGAAGCATCAGGTGAGCTGCATACTGTGGCTGCATCGACATTGTGCATGATCCTTTTTGACATAGCTGCAATGAATAATGACGCATTTATTGCAGGTGAGTATACCGGCCACCTCTTCCTCGTCCCATGCCAGTCGGTAATATAGAATCTCGACGAGTGAAATGCCCACAGTTTTCGTTTATGAAGGCGCTGAGATGAACAAAAGTGCAGAGGTGATATTCCAAACAGGCAGAGCTACATGAAGCTTTTTACAGTTTGAAAAATTCAAAGGACACATCGGTTGCATGAAACAGAGACTTCAGTGCTACCAATAGAAGTTTGCTAGCGTGATGGTGCAAGAGAAGTTGTACCAAAATGCTGTACAAAACTTGCACAAGCTGTAAAAGCGTGAAAAATCAATTTCCGATATTAATGCAAGAAGATAACTTTTGCGTCACATGCTGACGCCGCGGCCGCGAGACAGTCAGTCAATTTTTTCGTTTGAGGAGGCATGTAAGGCTTTCGCCTTTACAATGAAAACAACAAAGAAGGACAGGGAAAACACGGCATGAGTAAGCTACACAACGGAGTAAACGACTGGGAAACTACATTGCATGGCCAACCAAACCAAACACGCTACGGCATCGTAGTGATGAATCAACGAAAAACAAGACACGAAAACGAGGCAAATGTCATATGAAGCATTGATTGATCCTCATCACTTGCGAAATTCAAAGCACCGAGTAATTTAAAATGGCTGATGGTTTTGTAAATATGATGCAATTTTAAGATACATTTCTTTGTATAGAAACACCGAATGTTTATATAGCCTGAAAGGTTGGATAAGTGCTGTCAAAAGTTGCAACCACTGCACTTCACCGATGCCTTAAGAACCACCAGAATCGTTGAAGGACTCTGGATATTACACAAATTTTCACTGAATTCTCCAGGAAAAAAAAAAGCATGCTTTTATAGTGGTAGCATATCTTACAGTGAAATAAGCATGCCATCAAATTTCTAGCCTCAAGGCTTCATTTGACGCTAAATTTCACTGTATTAGAGCTTTCCCGAATTCCCTTGTAGCTAACATCATTTTTGAACATGTACTAAACCTTCACGGCTAGATTTAAGGGGAGACGCTCCTCGAAAGCACTTTTTTTTTGTTATTCAACTTAGAGCTTCAGAAATTGGACCACTGATGCAGTTTTTCCTCCTGATTCCAAATCTGTAATCAGTTTTTACATAAGTGCAATAGTTTGGGAGTTGTGTTTCAAGTAATGGTGAAACTTGATAAGTTTTCCGGGAACTTTCGCGCATACTAAATGTTCATGCAGAGAGTTGTTCAATGGCTCCTTTTGCTCCCTATTAGCCATAGAGTGCCGATATCTAGCTAGAAATTGTGCTCTAACTTTGAAACTATGAAAAAAACATCTGTGTAGCAAACTACCCTTTTTTTTCCACTCGACCACCATTAAATTTATTAATAGATATTTACAGCTGATAGGTTGTGCTGATTCAAGTAGATATCGGCACCCTACGCACTCTCCTCAATGTGTGTGCCAAATTTCGTCGTCGTATGACCATTCTAAGTGCCCGAAACACTTCCCGCAAAAAATGCAAATTGGCCAAAATTGCGAAATGAGAAAAACGCGTTTGAAAGTTTGAAAGTCTGTATTTACAAAAATGAAAAACGCAGTAGCACGAAACTTGTGCTGAACACATACACACATGTCCAGAGGGAATATCAGTTGTCTAAAACTCTCCAGCACCGTAGGTTTTCCCTTCCCGGCTGGTGCGGCAGGACTCTTCCACCCGGGCCCTCTTGGCTGCACTGCGACGGTGTGCCCTCGCCTCAGCGGTCTGATGCACATTCATCTTGTGCATGCGCATGCTGTCTCGGCGGTCGCTGAGGGTAACCAGGGCCTCCGAAGGAAGCACCCCAAGCTCTTCCAGCACCTTTTCAAAGCTCGCGTGGCCCCGGTTGAACCACAGGACTGCAATGGCTGTGGCTGTTTCCACAGCAGTCCGGGAAGCAAACCGGGTCTTTGGACACAGCAGCCATATTTTGCTGTTCAGGGACTCGGCCGCGTTCTGTGTCTTGCCGTGGAGGCACCGGGCAAGCAGCTTCGCATCTGTGAGACGCTTGTAGATTGGGAGGACTGCCAAACCCTGGGCCTTGGTCAGGAGGGGGGTGTGGCACGGTGCAGGCTGGCCCTGCGCCTCAGCACGTCGGTGCTTGCACCACGAGTCTGGGCCTGCAGGACAGAACTTGTGACTTCCAGCACCGTCTGTTGAGCACGAGTGCAAACATGAGGCCCATATGGCAGTGTACATCTTGTGGACATTTCCCCGATTGTTCACAATGGCCACCTGAAAGTAAGTTTGAAGCTTCTGGATGGTGGTCTCCTTCAGCTTCTCCCCTCGTGGAAGTGGCGTTGGCAGCTTCCGCAGGCCGGTGCCCAGACGTTTCGCCACGTGGTTGGTGCACTCCTCTTTTTCAATTGGAGTGTCAGGGTACACGTTGGCATCACAGACCCCGTTGTAGGCCTTGCTGTCTCCATCGCTTAGGAAGATGGTGAACCGCAGGGGTGTCTCATAGTCCACAGTCCTCTGCCAAATGCGCACTGCAGCTTCGGCCTCCATGGCATGCGAAGAACAGTCGCAATTCTTCTCACAAACGGGATGATGAAACGCCTGCCATGTTTCTTCATCGCCTCCCATGTCGTTATGCAAACTGCACGCCAGGCAGAAGTTGGAAAGCACTTCATAGTCCAGGCACAAACCAGTGTCCAAGGACACTACAGTTCCCACACCATTGTGGCTTTTGTGGCCTCTTTTTGCCATGTGCCGTCAAACATGACTGGCACGTCACTGTTACCAGCCACCTCTTTGGTGACGCTGCGTGCCCTTTGCATGTTTTCACAGACAGCCTTCACTGCCGCACTGTGAATCTTTTTGCCGATAGCATGGAAGGTCTTATGGTGCATAGGGTTTGGCAATCCAACTACTGCACAAAATCGTGAAAGTTGCTCATGCCCGATACCGACGGCACGCGCTGCAAGCACCACTTTCAGGTTCACGGCAAAGGCGTCACGCGAACTCCCGCTGTCGTAGCTTCTGCTTGCACCGCGGCCGCCATCTGACGCGACCCGCTTCGACGAGTACGCGGACGAAAGGATGCTCTCCGAGCACTCCGCATTCTCGCAGTGTAGCTCCAGAAACGCCGAAAGGCCTTTCCGCTTTTTATTCGGTGCCCGAACTGCGAGTTTACTCTCGTGACAAACGGGGCATGCCGCGCCTGCGACGACGGCCGTCAATGCACCCAACTCGCACAGCACTACGCTTTCGGCACGATCGGCATTCGGCCTGACGTCGTTTTCGAATAACGCGATCTTTTTCTGCGATGCACTCACAAAATTCACTGCAGCGTTGATCTCGTCGTCGCAGTTGCCATGGTCGACGTTGCCGTGGTCGATGTTAGGCCTACCGGCCGCTGGCCCGTCGCGGACATTTTCGTTGGCGGTGGCTTTCTTGTACGTCCTCCGCCGCTTCCCTCTGAACTTGTTCTTACTTCTGTATTTCCGATGGTCGGCAACGGCCTTTTTCGGGCTTGCCATCGCACGAAAACAGCGAAAAATAACTCCGGAAAACAGTGAAGCGAACTACGGCAAGAAAACACGGGTGCTGTCAGCCAATGGCGGCCCTGCGTTAGTGGCGCGCGGTTTGAAACGGCGGGAAAAGACTGTTTTTGTTGCTTTTTTTTTAGATTTTTCGTGAACGTACGAGACTTCAAGAACCGGGATCGTGGAGAGTAAGGACAACTCTACACGAGCCAGCGGCCGCAATATGGCGGACAGCTCTCTTCGCGGCCCCGCGAGCACGCGAACAGCAGCCCGTTTTGTGTAAATTTCGTGATGCCGCGCGTCACTGCCGCTCACTCAGACGCGTTTTTCACTGACTTCTGATGCTTATTTCGCTGTGATATTTTCAGATGTCAAAATATAATGTATAAAGATGATAAAGCAACAAAAAACAGAAAAGGTGAAATTTGGAAAAAAAACGCGACTTTTCGACCCGCGTCTCCCCTTAATAAGATTTCACAGCTCCGTCGCGTGCCGTACAATTGCAGCCCTGCGACCGCTCCGGTGGCTTGCCGTGGGCGAGGGCGACCCTAGCGGTTGCTCCTGTCCCTATATCAAACTTTTGCTGAAGCTTCATGACCAGTAAAAGTATCGAAGGACTCTGATATAACCAATTATCTGCTATAATGAAGTGAATAGCCTTTCCATAAATGCAGTGTTAAAGTATACATTTATGACAAGTTTTTTTAATGTCAGCTGTTACTTTCTTACACAAGGTTTGCGTGTAATATGTGGAAAAGCAAAACTTGCCTTTTCATCCTCTTCGAATCGGATGATGACCACTGGGACTCGCATGCCCAGGGGAAGCCTCGAGTGCGGAAACCGACTGACACCTTTGTCGTTGCCATCTTTCTTTGAGCGGGGCTCGGAGGATGAGGGACCCGTTGGTGAGGTTTCACCGCCCTGTGAGAACAATGACACGTGCCTTGCAGACCAGTTTTTACCGAGTTCGAAGCGCCTGCAAAGTGCTGGTGTGGTACAAGACGACTGCACAACACAACTGCATTATAACGAAGTTACACTTTGTCTTTCAAATATATTTCTTGCATCAAATGTTCGTTACAAGCAGCTAAACCTTGCAGGCTGATATAAGCAAAGTAGTTTGGATTTTCGCTCTCATGTTCAGTAATTTTGGGACGTCGTATGTCGAGATTCGAGAAAGATCTGTTGCTCAGCGAGTTGATTAACATCAAAAGGACACATGTGGGTGCAAACCGAAGAAGAATGAACAAATATTCGAGAAATAGAGCGCAGGAAGCTTGGTGCAAAACCGTGAGTGACACAACACTTCCTACTCCTCCTTTCCGAGTCTGTTTCTCTATTTGCGATAACACGTACTATATGCCTTTCTCGAGATTCGATACCTGTCATCCCTGCTGTATTACCGCACTCGGGACCACAGCAACACTGAGGAGGACACTGCGCCAAATGTCACCGGTTCACCGTTTGCGAGTTACCTTTCGGTCGTTGTTTGAAACGCACTCTAGGGCAGGGGACGTTGGCGAGCTCAGCAACTGCTGCACGGTCACTCTCTTTTGGGCTTTCCTTTCAAGCAGCTCCTTCAGCTTCTACGTGCACCAGGTTGCATGGAACAAAAACACAGTTGTAAAATAAGTGACAGTCTAATCAAAAATCGTATTGAGAAACAAAGTCACTAGAGGTTTGTAAAAAAAAAAAAAACCTAGCACGAACGAAGAACACACCCATACACATTTCCTACAAAAACATCCAGTGCTGGAATCATTTCTTGAGATGTGCCAGCCAATGAACTTTCTTCCCTATGTAATAGTAATGGCAGCTTTCTGATAAGGTAGGAACTAGGGATGGGCGAACATTTGAGTGCTTCCACAAGAATTTAATTTACTTGAAATTTCAAAGTATTCAAAATGAACAAAAACAGATATTCTTGACCACACTTATCCACTCGAAAAGGTTGTCTTACTGCAACATAGGCCTGATATGCCGTGAAATTACCCTTCTAAAGAAAGGCCATACTGTTGCAAAGTCACACCTCAAAGTTAAATACATATTTACCAGCAGTTCAATTCATAAATAAAAAAAATTAAAAGTGTATAAGAGAGCTACATGAGCCAAGTGTAACAAATTTTAAAACTGCACAAACTACATCGCTTGTAATTCAGGTTCCATTAGTATAAGATTAAAAGCATGTTATGTCGGCCTCTGAGTATACCAAACTTAGAACGTTTACCGCTTATAACGGGCACCCTAGTGCCATTCAAATCTTGATACTATTCATATTTGCTTCCACATTCAAACCAAAAAGGTGACGCTAGTACATGCCTAGGTACCATAAAATGCTGAGCGAGCACCCTCCCCCCCAACACGAGCAAGCGCCCCTTTTCCAAAATCTGGTCGGATTACTCTTTTATTTAGAGAGGAAACTTGCTCAGAATTTCACGGCTGTAGTGCCAATTAAAAAAAATATTGTGCAAGTTAGTTGGGTCATAATTAAAGTGCTCATTTTTATTTAAAATAGGTGATGTTTACTATTAAAACAGTTCAATTAGGAACTGACAAAATATTCATTTGCTTCAAACTTCAAATTTACTATTCGCCCAATCTTGATAAAAATGTTTTTTTTTTATCCTCTGCTGCTGTCTTCTTTCAAGTGTAAACCTTCATACTGCTAAGCACACACATGTGGCATTAAAGAAAGAAAATACATATGTATTAAATGTCTGAGTAAACCATTACCATCACCATGAAATGAGAAACAACAGTCACAATCACGGAATCACTGACCTTAGCTTTTTCAGAGGTCTGTTCTGATGACGTCGGTCCAGAGGAGTGAACCGCGCCCGTTCCATCACAGCTGCTGCCGGCAGCCGGTGCAGTACTGTTTGGCAGTGCCTGAGTAGAGAGAGTGACACCTGTTAGAGCTGAGCAACACACAGAGGCCAAGTTCAACGAAAATTCGGTTTAGCTAAATTAATTTTGTTGAAAAAAACAAACAAACAAGATGAGTGGTGCACACAAATGAGGCCACCTTGGCAAAGCAGCCCCACTGATAATTGTCATGAAAATGAGTAGACACTGATGGACGGAGCACTTGTGCAAACTTACTGTGTAATGGGACAGTGGTGGCTGTGGGGAGAGCCGACACTTTTACCTGAGACATAATTTAATCCGGGTGCTGTCATCTTTGGCTGTGAAGAGGATATTTTCTTGTTTGATCAATTGCGACATGAATTCATAACATTATAAAGCATCGTGTGTGCCGACATGACCATTTCTATGCATATTCGTCTACCGTAACACTGTTTGTTTATTTGCTAAATGTGCAAAACACAAAGGTTAATAGCCCACTATGGTGGCCCCGATACCGATTCATAAAATAGACTATAGGCTTTTTCGAGCGGCTTGAATTTTCATTAAACCAGGCATTTTTTGGGGAAATGACTGGAGTGAAACGAAGGTAGTTCATACACGACTTACCTTTTCATGGGAAGTGTCTGGCAAGGAAGCCGGCGGCACACCCTGGAGGCTAGCCGCCTTTTTCCTCCTGCTTTCCTCCAGGATGGCTTTGAGCCGGTCAAGCTTGCTGAGGCCGCTGTCCTGCTTGGCGTTTGGGAGTTCGTGCATGGTCGTCTGCTGTGTCGACAAGTCGTTTTCGTTTCCACTCCCTGTTGGCGGCAGCCCGGATCCTATTGACTCGGAGTTTTGCAAGCTGCCAGTCCTGGATGCGTGGAAAAGCGCTGGCGATTTTAGGAAAGTGTAGACCGAAGGTCTCAAACGCACGCCCTGTGAACCTGTAGTCACAGTTCCCCAAAATTAACTATAGGGGGCTCCGGTGCTGCGATCTTTCAGCTACCGTGGGAATAATGGGTAGTACACAAATTTGCCTACTGAAGTCCTAATGCTCGCGCGTTTCTAACGCATGTGTGGCTTTGTTTATAGTTGTGCTTTAGTTTTGTATCGAGTAAAATAATGGACCGTCGTGAACTTCGTGACCCGTTTCCAATTGGTGAGTCTAAAATGTTAAAGTGGTCAATGCAACTGCTGAACATTTGCTGATTGTCGTCTCATGACAAAGCAGCTCTGGGCCACGTGAAGCCAAACGGAGCCGAAAGTACGAAGATTAGACAAATTTGTGCACGACCCATCATTTCCATGCTGGTTGAGGTGCTGTGCATTGCAGCTTGCATAGACTCTAGCGCCAGTGTTCCCTCTACTGTACTTATACTAAACTCTACGCTGTAGCTAGGAACCTGCAAATGACTATCTTTGTCACATATTTTGAAACAATTTTCTTAATACATATGTTCAAGAACTACACAGACATGCACAGTCTCAAGCACAGCTTTTGGGACATACGCCCATGCAGTCACCATGTTTTGAAGCAGGACGGTGGAATGAAAGCTATACTTCAGCCATTCTGATGTGTTTGACACGTGACGTGAAATCCCCTTCAGAAGTGAGCTAGGTACGGGATATGGGAAAGACCTCAGTTCAAATTACAGTGTTAGCTCGTAAAATATGTTCAACTCGCAGTCTTCCCAAGTCTTCACCCTCAAACCTTCTTCACTGCCCTGGCCCTTGTGAAAGACTAGGTGTGAAAGACACTAGAAGACTAGCAAGATCGTGGCATTGCTAAAACCAGGCAATTCTCCCCACGATATGCTATTTTACAGACCTGTGGCACTAGCAAGTCCTGTAGGAAAACTCATGAGACGAATGGTTCTGATGCGCTTGGAATGGTTTCTAGAGAAGCAAAGAGTATATCCAGATGCCACGACTGGCTTCAGGAAGAGAAGGTCATCAGGTCATCAATTGACAGTGTGATTGATTTGGTAAAAACCGTTGAACATCCAAAACGGTGTCGCCGATTAACGGCTGCAGTATTTCTTGATATCAAGGGTGCATTCGACGATATTCTGAATGACACCATTCTAAATGCTCTTGAAGACTATGGCATTGGTGGCCGCATACACCAATAGATAGCCAGCTATCTTTAAGAACGAACTATATTGATGTCTACTGCTGACGGTGACACAAATAAGCATCCAGTCTATCAAGGCATGTTTCAAGGTGGAATCCTGAGCCCAACATTATTTAATATTGTACTTGTTGGCCTCGTTAAAAAGCTCGTTAAACTAGGCGGCGAAATCTCGGTGTCTGTGAACGCAGATGACATTTGCATTTGGACCACGAGTATAACACCTTCGCAAGTACAAAAGAAACAACAATGTGCAGAATCGACAACGTCTGCATATCTTAATACCTGCGGACTGCAACTGAAACCGACGATAAGTGCAACCCTACCATTCACGAGAAAATCCGTGGCTTGCTACCCCATAGTGATCGATGGGAACATAACACCTTCGGTAACTCATCACAAGTTTCTCAGAGTTATCATCGATCGTGATTTGTCTTGGTCGAAGCACATCTCACCGCTAAGAAAAAAACTAGTCGGCTTTGTCCAGGTCATTTGCCATATGTCTGGAAAATCGTGGGGACCATCGAAATCCTCTCTTCTGCAGCTATACCAGGCACTTTTTATTGGATACCTTCGCTACAGTGCTCCTGTTCTCTCCCGTGCTCACACATCGGCTGTATGTACACTCGAGGGAGCTCAGGCACGCGCCCTTAGAATTTGCCTAGGAGTAGCTCGATGCACTTGTACAAGGGACACTATAGCAGAAGCACTTGCTTGTCCAGCTCGTGTTTACCTTCAACATTAACCACTACGAGTACATCTGAGGCTACCGACAAGGCACCGAGACCATCCACTGACAGGCACTAACACACGATCTAATGCTGCATACTCAGAAGCTGTTATGTCGCACCGAGATCTGCTGCCTTCAAATTATGCACCACATGTTATCTCCGACATACCATTCTGAATGATTCCTAAGCTGATCGTGCGACTTTTCATCCCAGGAATAACAAAGAAGTCAAAAATACCAACCGCTGGTCTTAAGCATTTTACTTTGCTGTATATTGACTATATGTATGGATATACAGTACACATTTTTACAAATGGCTCGGTCACGCAGATCTCCTCAGCAGCAGCTTTCACTGTGCCTCAAATGGGAATCACTCAACGCTTCAAAATAGCGCATCGGACATCATCTACTGCCACCAAGCTGACCGGCATCCGACAAGCTGCGTGCTACATTTTACAGCAAAGTCCAGCGAAATGGACGTTATTTTGCAACCCCAAGCCGGCACTTAAGCTAATCAGAAACTAGATGAAACAAGGCACTGCATACAGTCCTCTGGTGTGTGACATAATGAATATGTTGAATGAGGCATTTCAATACGGATATACCGTTGCGTTGCAATGGATTCCTAGACATTGTGGCATAGCTGGGAATGAACAAGCTGACGCAGAAGCAAAAATGGCGCATACTAGGTGCGAAGTGATATCAATTGACTTTTCCCGATATGATATTGCCACTAGCACGTTGTGGGTCGACAGCAAGAGCGGCTCTCAATCTGGAGGAAAAAGAAGATCACGTGCTTTTTTCTCTGCTCGAGAGCCAGCCACGACTGACGCATCGTCCTAGAGATTGCTACCCGGTGGTTTATAAATCCCCCAGTACTTGTGACTCATCGTGACAAACTGGTGGAAGTGCTGGGTAGTCTCACGGATGCTGCAGACCCCCCCAAGAAGCCGTGATACGAGTTCAGTGCCAATCAATACTCCCGTGCATCGGACCAGCCGCCGAATCAGGGGATTGCCTCCGGAAATCGACGATACTGCTCCAACCACGTCGACAAACATGACCAGCGCTTCGGTGCAAACCTCGTCAACAGGCACGGGAAGCACGGCGTCGAACCGCTATACGCTGAAAAGCCCACGGGCACCGGCGAGGTTCCATGGCACGGAGCACGAGGACGTTGAGGACTGGTTGGCGGACTTCGAGCGTGTAGCCACCTTGAATCAGTGGGACGACGCGGCGAAACTGGGTCGTGTCTATTTCTATCTCGAAGACGGGGCACGTACGTGGTATCAAAACCGAGAGGAGCAGCTGACGACGTGGCCCGAATTCTCTCGTAGACTTTTGCAGACCTATGCCAGTGCTGATCGCCAAGAACAAGCTGAACGAGCTATTCTGGCCCGCGTCCAGTTGCCAAACGAAACTGTGACCACGTACGTCGAAGACATGACGCGCCTCTTCCGACGGGCCGATTCGAGAATGACGGAGGACAAGAAGTTGCGTCACTTGATGCGCGGTGTCAAGGACCAGCTTTTTGCCGGCCTCGTGCACAACCCTCCGAAGACGGTCGCGGAGTTCTTGTCCGAGGCTGTGACAATGGAAATAATGCTGCAGCAGCGATCCAATCAATACGACAGGCAAGTCAGTGGCATGTCTACTGCCGACATTTTCACCGCCACTAGAACCAGCAACGACCATCTACGTGAACTCATCCGTGATATAGTACGTGAAGAGTTGCAAAAAGCTGGTGTAACACCTCATCCTACGGTTAGCTCAATTGCAACTGTGATCAAGGATGAGCTGCACCAGGCCCTCCGGAAAACCTTGCCTCCTGATACAGCTGCACCAGCTCCTGCTGAATACCGCCGTGAGACAACCTACGCGGAAGCCTTGAAACGCCCTGCTGCATCGCCACCATTACTCGTCCATCCTGTTCCTGCTGTTGCACTCCAGTCAGCACAGCCCATACCGTACTACGAAGGCACGTACACGCCACCGCCTTTGCCCTTTGTCCCTGGCGCTCCTGTCGCCCATCGTTCGGTGCCACCAGTTCAGTACATCGACGATCGGCGCACGTCTCCTCGGAAGTCTGATGTTTGGCGCACACCTGATCGCCGGCCTCTGTGCTTTCACTGTGGAGAAGCTGATCACTTGTACCGCCAGTGCCCATATCGCCGTCTTGGGCTTCGCGGCTTCTCTGCGTACTCACCGCCACCCCGTTACGGCCAGAGACCGCGCGAAATCAAAAACTACCTCGCCCAGCAGCATGCACCACCGTCTGCCGGGCGCCAGTCGCGCTCGCCATCACAGAGGCGATTTTCATCAATGCCTCAGCGGTATTCTACCACACGATCTCCCAGCCCCCGCCGGGAAAACTAGCCCAAGCGACCTCTGGGGGCGGGGTCGCTGAACGTCGAAGCGCTGAAGACCTCCTATTAACACAGAACCGTAAAGAAACCGGTCCGACATCACATACTACTGCAAAAGATGGCCGACTTTCACTCGACATAGCAGTGACAATTGATGGTTGTGCAGTTGATGCGTTAGTGGACACCGGCGCCGACTATTCCATACTGAGCGGGAAACTGACAACGCAGCTGAAGAAAGTCATCATGCCGTGGCACAACTCGCAGATTCGGACAGCTGGTGGCCACGTCGTTACTCCACTGGGTGCCTGCACAACTAGAGTACAGATGCAAGGGTATACATTCGTAGCAAGCTGCCTCGTTCTACGCGTATGTTCCCGTGACGTCATCCTGGGAGTTGACTTTCTACAGGAAAATGGAGCTATCATTGATCTGCAAGAGCGCCGCGTCACGTTCTCAGCCCAGCGAGCAATCAACGCGCAGGATGACGGAAAGCGTGTCGACGTACTCCGTATTTCTGAACAGAGCGTGACGCTTCCTCCACGAGCAAGTGTTCTAGTCAACGTAACATGCTGTGGTTTGGGCGATGGCGATGTGGTGGCCGAGACAAATTTAGAACACCTCCTGCAGTAAGGCATTTGTGTAGC